ACCCCTACCCCTACCCCTCCTTCTCCCCCCCCCTCTTTCCCCCTGACTAGGGGGCCCCTTGCACCTGTTGGGCCCCATCTTCGGTCTGGCCACCAACTAAGGGGTGACTCAGCCTCCCTTACTCAGGTGGCGATAGACATGTCCTTCGTCGCCTTTAGACCTCGATCGATGCGGCGTCCACGCGCGCCCTGAGTGGCGTGGAGGGGTGAGGGGGGAGTGTTGCCTCACTCACGCGCACTCAGACACACACACACTCAAACACTCAGAGCGGCGTGGAGGCTGCCAGTCACACACATACACTCAGAGCGGCGTGGAGGCTGCCAGTCACACACACACACACACTCAGAGCGGCGTGGAGGCTGCCAGTCACACACATACACTCAGAGCGGCGTGGAGGCTGCCAGTCACACACACACACACATATTCACACTTCATAATCTCGAGTGAATAGTGACAGAGGAGGATGGTGATAGGATAGTCCTGGATAGTGACGGAGCATGTGCACTGGATAGTGGACGAGGAGGTACTGGATAGTCTCATTTGGAAGTGAATTTTTATAAACAACTCAGAAGGAAATTCCATTGCAAGATTTCAACATAACCCTTGAATGTGAAACCCCTTTGGTGGAGTGGAAACATGGCTTACCCCCATTAACCTTTAGTGGGGAGGAAGGGAAAGCTCACCCCCCATTAACCCTTCATGGGGATCAGCGTCTGGAATCCTCTCGAACGTAGGTTCGAACCCTCGTCACGGCCCTTGTGGATTTGTTCATGGGGAGAAAAGGAAGGCTCACCTCCCCATTAACCCTTGATGGGGAAGAAGTAAAGGCTCACCCCCATTAACCCTTGATGAGTTGAAAGCGAAGATATGAATCAAAACACACAATATTCATCACGATCCAAGCACTATCAACCCCAGAACATATCCAAAAGGAAGATATTTAGAATCATTCTAAGCAGATGAATTTAATTTCCAGAAACTCCTCGTGACTGGCATCAGGGGACCTCCTGCACATCGCTGGCAAATGGATTCCGGATTGACTTTCATTCCGAACTTTTCTCATGAAGACTCGAAAAATAGCAGCTGGACTCCGCCTCACTCTAGCAGGATCCAAGCCTTTACCGGCGTTAAAATTATGATGATAAAAGTTACGTTCCACTTCTAGTGTACAATGTATATATATATATATATATATATATATATATATAATATTATATATATATATATATATATATATATATATATGATATATACATATATATTAATATATATAATATATATATATATATATATATAATATATATATATATATATATAGATATATGTATATATAATAATATATATATATATATAATATATATATAATATATATATACCCAAAGAATAGGGGTGGTAGGAGAAGAACATATTAAAGTGTTCAATGAGGATCCACAAGTTCTTCTCCGAGTACTCTTTATTTTCTTCTCCGAGGCTATGGCTCCCTACATTTGCAACTGAAGTGGTACCCTTATATACATTGTATCTTATATTTTCTTAGGTTATTAGGTTAGTTTGGTTAGGTCAGGTTGGGTTATATTTGGTTGGGTTAGACTAGGTTAGGTTATGTTAGGGATATTTAAATAGTAGTGATGACGCAAAGAGGTCTAGATTCGGTTTCAGTTTCTAGACCCTACTCACTCCTCCGCTATAACATAGTCGCCATCATGCGAACTTCCTCTCACTCTCTTTCTCTCTCTCTCTCTCTCTCTGTCTCTCTCTCTCTGTCTCTCTCTCTCTCTCTCTCTCTCTCACTCGCCTCTCTCGTTATAGGCAAAACAAACAAAAAATAGTCTCTTACCTTTTTTCTTTGTCTTCCCTTGTTTTTGCTATCTATATGCATGTGTCTGCCACACTCTCTCCCCCAAACAAATATAATATTACTGTTTTTATAAACTTTCACATCGAAATAACATTTAACAAGTGACAAACGCCCGGTTCAAACCTTACTCTTACGCTACCCCTTGTTGTGAGCGCTCAAGGCATTGTTCTTCAAATATCCCAATCTAGCGTTAATCTCCAGCAATAATACATGATTTTGGACGCTGAAGAAAGGCATTGCTCTTCGTCGCAAGTCGTCTGTCGTGCTGAAGCATTCGAGTCAGAGGCCTAGTGTTGTTTCCTGAACGTTTGATGGGCTCTGGAGGATGTAGAGGTGAGCCTGAAGCCTCTGCAGGAGGTAGAGGTGAGCCTGAAGCCTCTGGAGGAGGTAGAGGTGAGCCTGAAGCCTCTGGAGGACGTAGAGGTGAGCCTGGAGCCTCTGGAAGAGGTCAGAACAAACAGCACCTTTGTTAAAGTTCTTCGGAAGGTCCAGCCCGTTGTTGGTCCACAGGCTGGAGGTCCACTTCACCCTCCAGGCGACACATGTTTTTTGGCGGCAAATGAGGAAACTGTCCACAGAAAATGGGAGGGAAGCTGTTGTGGTGTTCTACATTGTGGTCTAAACGTGCTCTGGGGTGCGTGCTTATATATATATATATATATATATATATATATATAGATATATATATATATAATATATATATAATATATATATATATATTATGTATGTAAATGTATGTATGTCTCTACGTTTTCAATATTTAATTAGCTTCACTATTGTTTCCTATTTTCTCTCTATCTCTCTCTCTACCCCCCCCCCCCAACCCCCCCCCCCCCTCTCCCCACTCTCTCTCCCACCTCCTCCCACCACCCCACCCTCCCTCCCCCACCCCCTCTCCCCTCTCCCTCTCTCTCTCTCTCTCACCACCCCCCCCCCCCTCTCTCTCTCCCTCTCCCTCTATCTCTTCTCTCTCTCCTCCTCTATCCTCTCTCTCTCTCTCTCTCTCTCTTCCCACCCCCCCTCTCTCTCTCTCTCCCCCTCTCTCTCTCTCTCCCCCCCCTCTCTCTCTCTCTCTCTCTCTCTCCCACCCTCTCTCTCTCTCTCTCTCCCTCCCCCCTCTCTCTCTCTCTCTCTCTCTCTCTCTCACCACCTCTATCTCTCTCTCTCTCTCTATCTCTCTCTCTCTCTCTCTCTCTCTCTTCTCCCCTCTCTCTCTCTCTCTCTCTCCATCCTTTCCCTTCTCTCCTCTTTCGTCTCACTTGGCATTTCCCTTCCCTCCCTATCCCAGATGCCACGTCACGTAGAGGTTCTTCATAAGCTTTGCTGAGATGAATACAAAATGTGCCTTCCATATTCCCTCGTCGCCTCCCTCCTTCTAAGCAGAAGGAGGGAGCAGAGGAAGACGACGAGGGAGAAGAGCTGAGGCAGGAGGAGTAGGAATGAATAAAGGAAGCTGTGGAGGTAGATAGATTAAAGCTGTGGAAGGAGAATGGAGATGAGAGATAAGAGCGACTTCGAGAGATGTCGAGGGTTTGTGGGGTAATGTAGTGTAGCTGTGAGCAAAGCTATTAGGGATCACACGTGGAAGAGGTAGGAACCGCTTTGGCATTTGGGAATACCACACCACAGTTGTTGTGATTCACAGCAGGAGACCAGATAATCAGGTGTTATCAGCTAACACCTGATTGGCTGTTCCCAAAGGAGTTATAGCGACCAAGGGGACCCTGAGGGATTTCCCCCCAAGACTGTTGGTCTGACTTCCCCCATCCTGATTCCCAAGATAACACCGTTGGACGCACCATAAAGAAAATGGCATCTAGTACGCTGCCAATCAGGGAAATGTGTTGGCGAGGCTAGTCAGCTTCGTCAGGAGATTCTGATCACATTGACAGATCAGGAGATGAGCTGGAGTGTGGTCGTGCATGAGCAACAATGTCTACCTGGTCTGCAATCATCAGATCAATCAGTTTGGTCTTACACACACAGATCACAATAGCGTGATGCATCAAATGAATAAATCCACAAGGCCAGTAGCTTAGTCGATTAAGGAAGCGTCTGGGATGCTCTCGGACTTAGGTTCGAACCCTCGTTACGGCCCTTGTGGATTTGTTAATCTGGTCTACTGATGCGGTGGAGATGGCTGTTGTGGATATCCAGACTGATGGAATGTGTTTTGTTTTATTTTGTTTATAAAACAGACGTTTTTCTGTTTATGAGCGATGATAGCGTGTGAATTACGTAACGAATGAGTGATATCGTTAATCATGTTAATGTGTATTTAGATATTTTTTTCTATCTAATTTTGTTTCTCCAAACTGATACCTTTCCACACCATGAAAGTGAGAAACGAGTTAATGATAATGTATGATAATTTATGTATGAATACGAAGCTTTTTTGGCAATTTTTGTTTTTAACTTTGTGAAAAATTCTATGAATATAACGATATTAACATATCTTAATGATTGTCTGATTCACTACATAATAGAAGTAAAATTTTACTGATATTCATCATTCTTTAAGAATAATTAGCATATTAAAATTAGGTAATGTACTAAATGTGTACGTTCAAACAGTAGAAATGATCTAGGTGCATCGCTAGATACAATTTTCGAAAACTTTACCACACAACAATATCTTCGTTCGTGATTTACAGACAGACGCACGCACGGACACACACACACACACACACACACACACACACACACACACACACACACACACACACACACACACACACACACACACACACCACAAACACACACAGAAAAAAAAGATACGAGCCAAAATACTTAAAACAGTGACAAGGAGTTCACAAAGTCTCTTCAGGAAGCGGAAACTTTCAGATTTTTCCCCCTTGGAGCTACGATAGATGTGGTATAAGCCTAGGAAGTGTCTCAGATTACACAATATCCACTCACCAATAACTTCCACCAGACCTGGCGAATGAGCCTGATCTTCTGGGACGATGCCAGGAGGTACTGCTAAAGACCTTTCTGCTATATGTCTTTGGGATGAATCAGGCTCCTTGTCTCCAAGAACGTTGTTCTAAATCTGCTCTCAAAAGGGATTCTCATCAGCCTTCCTAATTTAAGTCTGACGCAAGGCAGAGAGAAACCACATGAACCATGCAAAAAGGTAGAGATGAGTCTGAAGCCTCTAGTGGAGGTAGAGGTGAGTCTGAAGCCTCTAGTGGAGGTAGAGGTGAGTCTGAAGCCTCTAGTGGAGGTAGAGGTGAGTCTGAAGCCTCTAGTGGAGGTAGAGGTGAGTCTGAAGCCTCTAGTGGAGGTAGAGGTGAGTCTGAAGCCTCTGGAGGAGGTAGAGGTGAGTCTGAAGCCTCTGGAGGAGGTAGAGGTGAGTCTGAAGCCTCTGGAGGAGGTAGAGGTGAGTCTGAAGCCTCTAGTGGAGGTATAGGTGAGTCTGGAGCCTCTAGTGGAGGTAGAGGTGAGCCTGAAGCCTCTGGAGGAGATAGAGGTGTGTCTGGAGAGGTGAGTCTTTCGGGCCAACTAACGCAGGCCTGAAAGACCGTGAGAGATACGCAAAGGGCGTCTCCAGCGGGGTCGGCGGATGGGAGGAATGGATGCGCGGCAGACCTGGATGCAAGGCAAGTCCCAGGAGGAAAAAGGAGTGAGTGAAATTTATTACATCGCTCGATAACCTCTGGGACACGGAAGCCCGCAGCGCCTCGGAGGTGATCTGGGGGAACGGCATCCTCTTCTCTGACAAGAAATTGGGACATTCTGCTTTTTGTTGAGTCAAGAGAGAGAGGAATATATGCAAATAAATACTGCTAGCTGTGTGTTGGATATCGTACTAAGGCAGTATACACAGCAGGTGTGCTGGTTATCGTACTGAGGTGTACGTTATCGTACTGAGGTGTACGTTATCGTGCTGAGATACGCAGCAGGTGTGGTGGTTATCGTAATGAGGTGTACGTTATCGTACTGAGGTGTACGTTATCGTGCTGAGATACGCAGCAGGTGTGGTGGTTATCGTACTGAGGTGTACGTTATCGTACTGAGGTGTACGTTATCGTGCTGAGATACGCAGCAGGTGTGGTGGTTATCGTACTGAGGTGTACGTTATCGTACTGAGGTGTACGTTATCGTGCTGAGATACGCAGCAGGTGTGGTGGTTATCGTACCAGGGTGGTAAACGGAATTGTGTTTACTTAACAGCATTCGCGCGCGCGTGTGTGTGTACTCGCCTAGTTGTGCTTGCGGGGGTTGAGCTTCGGCTCTTTGGTCCCGCCTCTTAACTGTCAATCAACTGGTGTACAGATTCCTGAGCCTACTGGACTCTGTCATATCTACAATAATAGTGTGTGTATGTGTGTGTGTGTGTGTGTGTGTGTGTGTGTGTGTGTGTGTGTGTGTGTGTGTGTGTGTGTGTGTTGTGTGCGTGCGTGCGTGTGTGCGTGAGTGCGTGCCTGAACCTAACCGTACTTATACTATCCTAACGTAACATAATTTTACCTAACTTAACCCAACCAACCCTAACCCAACCAAAGTTAACCTAACCTATCCTACTGAAAGCAAACCAAACCTGACCTAACCTTACCTAACCTAATCTAACCTAACCTTATCTAACCTAACCTAATCTAACCCAACTTAGTGTAACCAAACTTAACCCAATATAACTTACATCACTCGCACTTACAGAGCAATGTGAAATAAATGCCAGATGTTTATTGGTTAATGTATATTAATTAATTAATTTTAAGTGTTTATCACAGCAACATTCAACATTACGATGTGAATTACATTTTGTTAAAAAAATACCTTACCAAAATACAGACTACAAATAACAGTTTGTATGACAACACAACACTGAATAAAACGGTGTATTTTTGGTAATACACAAAAACGGTGTATTTTTGGTAATACACAAAAGCATTTAATACGTATCCAATAATACAAATAAATGTAATATTTATTAGACAAAGTAATGAAATAGAGTATACAATTTTTCCCGAAAAAATACAACACGATCTATAAACTCTTAATACAAGATTTAACATACAACATAATACAACTATAAATATTTACAATACAACATTAAACAATAAATAAACATTTAACAAAATTCCACACTTCAAATACCCATTAAACACAAAAATAAAAATAAATTCATGAAACTAAAGGAGTCAAATGTATATATAGCCATTATCAGACATTATACAATAGCAAGTTATTTTACCTGATACCAGAGAAAAATACACGTTTATACAACTTAAAAAACAATAATAATAGAATGCAGCTGCATGTTTTATTTGCGAAACAAACAGAGAGCTGTTCAATATTAATTGCAGAACAACAGAACACAAAATTGTGTATTTCCATGCAACAAGATAGCAAGTGTATATTTGTAATCAACAAAAATACAACAGTGTATCATACACAAATAAAACTAGAGAGAGAGAACATATTTAGAACAACGTGAACAAACTGAACAAATGTTACAGTATAAAACTGTGAAAAACAATGAAAAAAAAAAAGAATAATAAATACACACAAAACGCAAGTATGAAACAGTATTAAACATACAATAGTTGTATGAAATAGAATAGCAAATGATTAAAACTAAAATTGTATTATATACACATACTATTAGCAATACAAGATGTATATCCCACAGCGGTAGCATGGGACCACTACCTGTGCCTCGTCACACAGCGTGACACAAGAGCGTGACACGAGAGCGTGACTCAAGAGCGTGACACAAGAGCGTGACACAAGAGCGTGACACAAGAGCGTGACACAAGAGCGTGACACAAGAGCGTGACACAACAGCGTGACACAAGAGCGTGACACAACAACATGACTCAAGAGCGTGACACAAGAGCATGACTCAAGAGCGTAACATAAGAGCATGACTCAAGAGCATGACACAAGAGCGTGACACAAGAGCGTGACACAAGAGCGTGACACAAGAGCGTGACACAAGAGCGTGACACAAGAGCGTGACACAAGAGCGTGACACAAGAGCGTAACATAAGAGCATGACTCAAGAGCGTAACATAAGAGCATGACTCAAGAGCATGACACAAGAGCGTGACACAAGAGCGTGACACAAGAGCGTGACACAAGAGCGTGACACAAGAGCGTGACACAAGAGCGTGACACAAGAGCGTGACACAAGAGCGTGACACAACAGCGTGACACAAGAGCGTGACACAACAACATGACTCAAGAGCGTGACACAAGAGCATGACTCAAGAGCGTAACATAAGAGCATGACACAAGAGCATGACTCAAGAGCGTGACTCAAGAGCGTGACACAACAAAGTGACATAACAACGTGAGAAAAGAGCGTGACACAAGAGCGTGACTCAAGAGCGTGACTCAAGAGCGTGACTCAAGAGCGTGACTCAAGAGCGTGACTCAAGAGCGTGACTCAAGAGCGTGATACAGATGCGGAACACAACAGTCTGCGTGTTCCACAGCAATAATCACAACTTACCCAGCAGCAATAAGCAGCTCTTCCCCCCCCCCCCCGGGCATCAGGCAAATGCGGGGGGGGGGGGGAAAAAGCAAATATACCATAACGACCAAACCACACATTTGAGGATGACGGAACGAGGACGTTTCGGTCCGTGCTGGACCAGGTCACACTCGACTTGATAATGGTATACACGTACACGCGCGCGCCCACCCACACACACACACACACACACACAACGTTGCCCCCTCCCATCTTAACTCCCCCCCCCCCTGGTCCACAGGGAGCTGCGAGACGGCTGGGACCATAAGCTTCAGCTCCTGGTCTCTGACACGCACCACTCCCAAGGTAATAGAGAAAATAACGAAGCACTGGGAAAAAAACAACATTAAATATATGCTGATACATTTATTTTACAGATAACGCTTCGAGTCCTTACCAAGGAGGATTGACTGGGCGCCACTCTTTAACGGTTTTCCCTAGTTCACCCAGCAATTATTCTTGCATAAGAGCCAGAAGAATTTCCTGATACCAAAGAATCCCAACAATGCCCACTTTGGGACTGTCAGCCCAAACGATCTCAATATATAGGCAGGACAACAACAATTCCTTTTCAATTCGCCTATAACAATGCACAAACAACATTTAGTCACGTGTAGAGTCACAACAAACATTGCGGGTTGTTGTTGTTTCAAATTTACCTACTCAGAACGAAGTGTCCATGTAGCACGGGCTATGGTGAGCCCGGACTCCACAATCCATAAACATTACGGGTCTCTACACACAACCAGATCATCACCAGAGATATCCTGACAGGGGGGGGGGGAACTATCAGGAGAAAACACCAAGAAAATGATGACTAGATATAGATATCCTTACAAACAACACTAGGAGAATCGACAGCAGATTGGCTACGAGTCGTTTCGTCAGTCATTAGCTGTTTTGAATTGGACAGTTCCGAATTCGGAGAGAGAGTTCCAGTGATAACCACCATTGGGGAGCCCTCCCGAACAAGCTACTAGTATCCAGCAACGAGCAATTAGCGATAGTTGTTGCGCTGACGAGGTTGTCTGTGTTTTCACCTAGTTGTACTCCCCTAGTTGTGCTTGCGGGGGTTGAGCTCTGCTCTTTCGGCTCGCCTCTCAACTGTCAATCAATCAACTGTTACTAACTACTATTTTTTCACACACACACACACACACACACACACACACACACACACACACACACACACACACACACACACACACACACACACACACACACCTAGGAAGCAGACCGTAGCAGCTGTCTAACTCCCAGAAACTTGTTTAGTGCTAGGTAACAGGGGCATCAGGGGTGAAAGAAACTCTGCTCATTTGTCTCTGCCGGCCCCGGGAATCGAACCCGGGCCTCAGGATTACGTGCCCAGCGTGCTGTACACTCAGTCACCGGCCCCCCTACGTATGTGTGTGTGTTTGTGTGTATGTGTGTGTGTGATCACGAAGATGAATGATAAGCAATAACCTGTGTGAAAATAGTCCGAATAAATTAAAAAAAAACGAAATAAAACAAATACATCATACACCTTTCTTGAACGACTGGTGAAATATCAAAGATTGAGAATATATTTGAACCTTAGCGAACGGCCACTCAGGCCAAGCTAGGGGAAGCCTGATCATGGCCAGGGTTCAGAACCTGAGGGTCGTTAATCACTCGGCCAATCAGGGATAGTGTCATACTCTTGCCATTACCGGTCCGAGGCCGCTCAGACAATCAGGGAAGGTGTCATGTCCGCTCACTTGCTGACCGATATATACCCAGCCAATCTTGGGTGAAGACATGCTCCTGCACCTGCTGTCTTCCTGTCCATTGTTGCTTGCTGGGGGACGTGTGTGTGTGTGTGTGTGTGTGTGTGTGTGTGTGTGTGTGTGTGTGTGTGTGTGTGTGTGTGTGTGTGGTGT